GATTCCGGTCCACGCCGCCCCGGTTCCACTTTCCCTTCGCGGTCAGGCGGACCTTTTCACTTCCTGAGTCACTTAAAGTGGCAATGGCCCTTTTCTGATTTCCCGCGGGGCTCCGCCGCTCCGCTGGGATCTCAGCATCCCGGGAAGGATGGATTTAGTCTCTGGCGCGCTCGGGACCCGCCTCCCCCTCTCCCTCCCTGGAAGTGTGAACCCGACTTTGCAGACCCACCAGCCTGGGGGCCCTGTGGACCTCGGTCCCTCTCTGCCAGTGTGTCACGACCCCCCGGGTTCTGCCAGGTGCCAGGACCCAAGCCTTGTGCACTGGGCTGAATCTGACTTCTTGGGATTTCAGGAGGGGCCCCGGAAGGGCTGTGTTTGTTCTTCTAGGCTCAGGGAATCTGAGTCAGGCTGAGCAAAAATTTCTGATGATCCAAAACAATAATGTACTTTGTCTCCTTTCAAAGTCTCATTTGTATTTCTGTCTCCTAGGGCCTTAGAACTTCTGGGGCCTTGGCCTTTTCTGGAAGCTGCTTTGCGGTAGGCTCAGATATTAGGCGAAGCCAGGGGAGGAAAGTCAGTATTTGTGGAGAGTTCTAGGCTTCAGTTCCAGTCCTTTAGGCAAGGAGTACTTCTAAACTCAGAGTGGGTTCCCAAGGGAAAGAAAGGGAACCGTTAATATTGAACAGTAATAAAATGTCAAGAATAGGGTTAGATCTTTGCGTGGCTCTTTAAAACTGGTTTTAGAAGATTCCCCACTCCAGAGCCCCAAATCGTGGGACAACTGCATAACCAGTTTTGCTTCAACAGACAAGTTAATTCATTACTCTGTTTTCTACTTCAAAAAATAAAAACTGTGTAAAATGGAAATAATAGCCCTTCACAGGTGGTTTTGTGGATTAAAAAATGTAGAGGGCCCTGCACCATTGAGTGTTCACTGAGCTTTGATTACTGTCTTGGCACAGACCCTTTTAAGGGGTCTTGAAGCACTTAACACATAAGTTTGGCTGCCACTTGAGTAGGCAACGCTCTCATCTTTAACTCATATGAGGTCTCTAGATTCACAGAAAAGCTGTTTCGGTGGGTGAGGGGGAGCATTTTAATCTAAGTCAAGAGAGAGGCCGAGATGTGGTTAAATAGAATATGTGTGGGGTTGGAAAGTTGTCTGTTTTCCTTAAATTGTCTGATTTCCTTAGATAACTCTAATCTGGGATTTCCAGATGATCTTCACAAAAGTTGGAGGAAATCAAGAAGGTAAAAAACATTTTAAATATCTTTTAATATCACTGTGGATAATGTGAGCAGCTCTTGTTAGATATTTTTTAATCTCAAGAATTATATTGAATGTTGAGGGTAAATAGATTTGTTTTGTTTCAATTCCATACGAGTTTCTGTTTTCCTTCAGTTTGTTTCTCTGGAAATTATTTCTGTGTCTATTTGAAACAGGGACTGATGCACCATTCTGAGAAAAAAATTCAACCAATGACAACTCAAACATCAGCATTATATATATCTAGTGAGTAATGTTCCTTGCTTAGTTATTACTACCATTGCCCCAGATTTAAAGGAAAACAACTCAGCATTTATTTAGAAAAATCTTTTTCTAGTATCTTAAAAGGACATTTTTGTATGGGAGGGCGCTTGTGGGGGGTGTTTTGTTATTATTGTTAATGTTTCTTCTTTAACCTGACAGAGTTAGAGTGTAATACTGTAGAGTATGTGACTCTTTACAGTCTTCCTTTGATCCGTGTCTTAGTTACTTTCCTTGTCAGTAGACAAAATATTGGACACCCAAGACTTAAAGGAGGAGAGGTTTATTTTGTCTCACAGTTTGGCAGGTTTAAACGTGGAAATAGCATGGCAGGAGGGTCTGGGGAAAGCTGCTCACATCATGGCACCCAGACAGCAGAGAGAGAAAGGAGGAACCATGAGAGAGACATACTGTTTTTTCAGGTCATACTGTCTCTTCTCATCAGAGTCCATCTCTCAGTAACAAATGAGCTATATTGTCTCCATGATCCAGTCATCTTGTGAAGGGCTTGCCTATGAATGCATGAAGCTCTTTGTGGTAATCTGGATATAAACCATAACAATCCTTCTGTAGAGAGAGGTTCTCAGAAGCAGAAGAAGATAAAACTATTTAAAAGATTACATAACTATTATAAAGTCTTGGTTAGACTATGTAGCAGACTCAATAAGGTGATCTTCTGCACAGAAAATAGAACCATCTGATGCTAAGGAAATGGAATTTTTGAAACATCCAGAGATAGTATCCTTGTTATTTTAATTGGCATATGAAATTATCACGAAATGTAGCAGGTTGAAATAATAAACATCTATTATCTCACAGTTTCTATGAGCCAGAAATCTAGGAGTGGCTTCACAGGTTGCCTAATTTAATGTCTGTTAAGAGACTTCAGGAAAGATGTTGGCTGCGTTGCAGACACTTGAAGGCTAACTTAACAAATGTAGGTTGCACTTCCAAGATGGCTCACTCACACGGCTGTTGATAGGTGATTGTTCTATAACTTAACAGTTGAATTCTTCGAAAGCGAGAGATCCAACAGAGGACGAGATGGAAGTTACAATGTCTTTTATGACCTAAACTCAGAAATAACGTATCATCATTTCCAATATAAACCGTAGAGTCCAATGATCATCTCTGTTCACTAAGGGAGGAAACTACACAAGGGAATGAATACCAAGAGGTGGTATCTTTGGGGCCATTTTGGAGACTCATGACCACCGTCTGTCCTTCGGTCTCCAGTGATGCATGCAGAATATTCTCACCTCTTTCTAAAGTACAAAAGCCTCAACCTATCATACCATCAGTCCAGAATCTTGTGTGGAAAAGTCTCTTAGGTGATATATTTTAAACACAGCTGCTCTAGTGTAGTTCCACTTCATCTTAATTCCTGTGCTTCCGATACTCTCAAGATACAATGGAGTGAACAGCGAAGGTGAACTCCAACAAACATGCTTGCTCAACTAGTAGGAAACAGAATGCTCTGAAGAGGTACTGGGGCATAGAACCCTTAAATGCTATTGGGTGTATGTTAGAATCTCCTTGACTGTGGCTCAGACCTACTCCTGCCTGGGAATGACTTCCCACAGTTCTTGACTTCACCCTTTGGACTCTTGATTCTGCAGAATTCTTCTTCCTTTTACATTAAAAGCATCCCATGTTTTCATCTATGGAGTTTTGTCAGTTTGCTTTGTGCCTGTAGAATTTAGAGGATCCAAAGACCACTTTTCATTTTGTACTATTTCTGTGTGTCCATGATGGCAGTGTTTTTGCCAATATAATTTTTTAGAACCTTACCTGTTTCCTGCAAATTGAACTGGATTCATTCTATTGAACAAATTCATGTGCAGAAATCTCCTCAAGATAAGCTGTTCCTTATTCAGCAGAATCCCTCTGTGGAAACTGCCCAGGTACCACACTAAGGTATCTTTGAAGCTCTGTTGTTTTTCTGAATGATTTTCTGAATCATCAGTAGATATTGTTGAGGTCTAAACAAAGGTTTTACAGCCTTACTTTTAGTTCATTTTTTGATATTTCCAGGGCAGCACCCTGGAGTTTATCTTTGCCTGAAAACTGTTTCTTTATTTTAACACCATTTGCTACGTGGAGAAGCTGGAAATTTTCAAAACTGGCAGATCCTCCCTTCCTCCCTCCCTCCCTCCCTCCCTTCCTTCCTTCTTTCCTTCCTTTTTCTAAGTCTTTACATTATTCTTTTCACATTTTACTGTAATCATCAAGAAGACATGAGCCAGTATCTTCAAAACTTTACTAAGAAATGTCCTTAGCTAGAATATACAACTAAATAGGAACATTTCCTGCCTTCCACTGCAGATATCAGTATTATTAAAATTCTGCCTCTGCATAACAATGATCCCTTTCTGCCAATTTTCAATAACATTTTCCTAGTTTCCCTTTACACCCTTAACCTACAGTCATCTTAAGTCCATAAGGAGCCTCCTAACAGTTTCTTTAAGATTCAGCGTTTAACATTCTCCTCATGGTACTTTCAGCTTCAGCCTACTGCCCAGTTCCAAAGCCATTTCAAGATTTCAGATTTTTAGTATAAAAAAAACCCATGCTCTAACAAAAATCTATATTAGTGGCGTGCTGTTGCGTAAAAGATTGCCCTAAAATTAAGAGTTATCTTGTGGGCTGATGGTCACACTTGGCATTGGAATTGGCATAGTCTCAGTAGGATTAGTAACAGCTGCAAAGTATCTGTATTGGCTGCATTACTGTTACCAAGGCACAATACCTGACACAGTTGCATGGGTTCAGTCCATGGCAGGTTCCAAGGCAGAATGAGCATGATGAAAGTGCACTGTAGAGCAATGCTGCTTACACAATGGTGGTGAAGCAGAGAGAAAAGGGAGGCACTTGGAATAAAAATACACCCTTTCAGGTCCTCCCCTAGTGACTCCAACCCAACCCTACCTCTTAACAACCCGTCAGCTACTAAATTCTTCAGTAGATGAACCCACTGATGATAAAGCACCCTCATGATCCAACTACCTTCTGCTGTAGCTTATGTCTAGATGTCTCCCGAAGCCTCATGCAGTAATAGATGGGGCTTTTCAGAGGTGACTAATGCAGAATGTGTGATACTGGGATTAAAGGTGTGTGATTACTAAAATGGTCCCCTGATTGGTTTGGCATACTTCTGGAAGTGAATAATGGGAAGGCTCTCCCTGGATGTGAGTGCTACTCACCCTATGGTTGGGTAGCCCGGATAGAATTTAAAGGATGGAAAGAGGGCTACTGGGGTCACTTGCAGCTTCCTCGCTACTTCACTGCTTTGCTGCCCTACTTCCTTCTGCCTGCCATGAACTGTTTCTCCTCTGTGATGCTCCACTGCCATACCACTCTGTCTTGGAGCCAGCCTACTCTGAACTGAAACCTCTACAGACTGTGAGCCAAAATAAACTTTTCCTCTTCTATCTGTTGATGTCCAAAATTGTATCTCGGCAATGAGAAAAGTAACTGAGATATCTTCCAAGCACGGGTAACTGAGATACCTTCCAAGCATATGAGACTTTTGGGGTACATTTTAGATCTAAACCATAACAGCATCTCTTAAGTAGCGTATCAGGGAAGAACAGGGAGGTTTGAAGCTGTGACTGTATTGTAAATATTTGCAGGGACTCCCAGAAATAAATGAGGCATTCCTAAATAAACAAAAGCCTGCTATTGTGTAGCTGTTCAGTTTTAAGTCTTGAAACATTTGAACACTACAAATGAGGAAACCTAAGTTCAGAGACATGAAGAAATGTGCTAATAAGTAGCTGAATTGGGATTCAAACTCAGATCTCTCTGGCTGCATCTTAGCATAGTCACCACTAGCATGAATAAGTAATACACCCCGCCTTACCAACCTGCTTCCTGAATAACTACCAGTATTTTCCTTCTGGCTGTGAAGTCACTTTCTATTCTCTTCGCCTGTTCCACATAAAAGACTTAAGTAAAACACATAACATGTTATGATTAATTTCAGGAAGACTATTAGAAGTTAACAAGAGAACGAGATGGAATTTTCAAGTTGATACTGCTGTATACTTGCTTGACTGGATTAGAATATCACTTCAGTGACTGATTTCATTTTACCCAACAAGCCAATGAAATCACCTAAATCTCTTATCTTGTAATATTTGCTAACATCTTATCCTATTATGTCACTGCAGTGAAAGATAGTGTCTCCTAGCACATCCCAGCCCTGCCAAAATATTAAACAAATAAATAAAGACCTGAAGGCTGGGCCTTACTCTGGTTCTCAGAAGCCTGTTTGAAGAGGAAACACAAAACAATTCCTTGGCCTAACAGTCTTGGAAACATTTTCATTTCAGTCAGTGCTTACTAGTAGATAGTTTGCTGACTAGTAATAGTATAGTTCTCTTATACTTCTCCCTTAAAAACACATATCTGCGAAGATAACTCCTGATAAGCTCTAATCAAGATATTTCCATTATCTGCATTTAGTATGTTACTTGCTAAAAAACAAACAAACATCTCATTTTCATAACTATAATTTTATTCACCACAAGAACTCTAAAGATTCCTTTGGTATTTTTTTCAATTTTCTTTAGATACATTCTACAAATTCCCTGCTAGTGGATGCCTCCAATTTACCAATGTAGAAACTACAGACCCGGACAATTATTTTATTTAAAAAACTCTCCAGTTGATTGTGAGTTAATCTTTTACTTCCTCCTTAGTCCTCAAGCTAGCTCCCTAAATCCTGGGTGATGCTAATTATTTTTGTCAAAATGATGTTTCAAACTCCTCTCCTAGCAAATGCTTTCTTAGGGGTGGTCTTGGCTTTTATCTGAGTGGGCTGCAAAGAAATGAAGGCACACACTTAATCATCTGTGAGATCAGCACTCTTTGAGGGGAGAAAAATTCCCTAAATTTGCCTTCCATTACTCCATGTGGAAAAGCAGTCACCTCTGGACTGGAACCAATTAAAGACTTTGTGTTTCAGCAGTCAGTGCACTGCCCTTGTAAATCAGGGAATATGAGGGAAAACTCCCTGAGGCTTGTTCTCTGTATGTATTTATTTTGGAACTTTGGTGCAGAGAGGTTCGTTAGTCATACTATTCACATCATAACCTGTCCTTAGTGCATGCCAAGCATCTTTGTTGTCTCATTTAAGTTTTGAAATCTGTCCTTTATTTCCAAAGTCCACTCTTGTTCCACTGTTTTCCTTCAGAAACCCTATTTAACATGTTTGATAAATGTTCTTGTGTCTATATGTATCTTTAAGAAGTAGTCCATTGTTTTTTATATACATGTTAAACTTTATATGAATATAGTGCTAAAGAATTCTCTCTCTCCCTCCCTCTCCCTTACTTTCTCCCTCCCTCTCCCCCCTCTTTCTCTCTCCCTCCCTCTCTTCCTCTCTGTTCCTCTCCTTTTCCCTCTCTTTTTCCCTCTCCCCAGTATTGGAGGTCTAATGCAGGGCCTTGTGCATTCTAGGCAAGTACTCTAGTACTGACTGCACCCCCAGCCAAAGAATACTTTCTCATTTTTTCCACTCCAGGACAACTTTATATCTAACTTCCTATTTTTTGTCAATACAATGGATAGGAAGTGATAGCTCATTTTAACATTTTTTTGGTTGGGCTATTAATAAAAGTGAATAGCTCTTTATAATTTTATTATGTGAATAGTCTATTTAGAACTTTTCCCTATTTTTCTGAGTTCCTTGATATTTTATTACTATTTTTGTAGTATTTTCTTTTTCCTTCTACATAGCGACCCTGGTCAGTTTTAGGTTTTTGTGATAGTTAACTGATTGTCTCAACTCAAGTAAGAAAAGCCCAATTAAATTGGATCAGTGTAGTTTTTGAGTGTAGCTGAGGGGATTTACTGAGGACAGAAGGTCCACCATAGGTCAGCTCGTTGACTGAGTGGTATAAAGGAGAAACAAAGCAGGAAGGCTCATTTCTGTTTCTTAGGAAGAACTCTGGTCTTCACATTCACCCTGGATGTTGTTGGCACCTGGTTTCCAACACGCTTCAGCCTCCAGCACAAACCCTTTAGGCTCCCATTGCAGGCTTTTCAGCCTCCTGATAAGGGCTTACCCCGGACACAACAGTGAGCTCCAAGTGTTTGACTGGATCCTTCAGATCCCCAGCAGGCGGAACTTTTGCACTCTCCCACACTGGACTCCATGGGCAGCCCTTGTAAACCAATCTTATAAATTCTTATATACGTGTGTATCTTGCATTAAATCTATTTCTCTAGCAAACACTAACTGATGTACTATTGAGGATATTTTTTTTCCAATTTGTCCTGCCTGCAATAACATTGTCTATAATGGTATCCTTTTTTTTCAGAGATTTCTTTTTTTTTTGGTACCGGGGATTGAACTTCGGTTCTTGCGCTTGCAAAGCAGGCCACTGAACCACTGAGCTAAATCCCCAGCCCAACGGTATCCCTTTTTGAAAAGAGATCTTTTATGTTGATATGACTGAATACATTTTGCTGAAGATCTTCTATAGCTCAAGATCATTAATATATATTCCAACATCTTTTATCTTTATGGCTTTAGTTTTTTACATTAAGGTCTATTTTTTTACATGGTTTGAGATAGGGATCCAATTTTATTTTTCCCTGTAGAGTGAGACCGTTTTCCCAACAGCCAAACTCTATTTATAATGCTAAACATAAATGAAGAAATTTGTTTGATAAGTGGTACCATAATGTCATAACTAAGAGTAGAGATTGAAGTGTGGCTCAAAGAATAACTGGCAACTTCTTTTCCCTAGTAAGTTCCCTAAAAATGTTAGCTTTTCAAAAAAGTTGTAAGGTGACATATTGCCTTTGTGATTATTTAGACTGTGGTGATGTGACATTGCAGTAGAGGCTCCAGTTCAGGAAAGACAGGTAAACCACAGGAGTCAGGGACACAGTTAAAGGGGAAGAGCCATCCTGAAATTCTTGAGTTATCCTCTTTGAATAAGGTGGGATGAGAATTAAGAAGAACAAGAAGCTGGGCATGGTGGAGCACGCCTGTAATCCCAGCACTCGGGAGGCTGAGGCAGGAGGATCGCTGTGAATTCAAGACCAGCCTGGGCTACATAGTGAGTTCAGTCTAAACTACATAGTGAGACCCTGTCTCAAAAAAACAAAACAAAACAAAAAAAACCCAGAAGAACAAGAGTTTCAGAGTGGGTAATTCATTCATTCATTCATTCACTCATTCATTCACTTATTAAATGCTGAGTACTTTCCATGGATGAGATACTCTTCGAGGTCCCGAGGATGACACCACAAAACAGTACCATGAGTGCTCCTGGCCCATTCACATTTCTAGCATTAGCTGACATTCTTCCATTTCTGGCTGCCCCTCTGTGACATTAGGAGATCATGTTTTTTGGTTTTCATCCACAGTTCCTGCCTCATAGCTCCCATAGTGCTTTTCGAAATGACTAGAACAATAAGGTTAAAATATGTGGACTTTTGTCCTTGGTTCTTGAAGCAGCCTCGGAACAACTTTAAAACAAGAAAAGTGAAAGAGACCTTCGTTATAATGTTAGGGTTCTTTAGGCCTCAAGCTGACCTAAAAAACAAAGATATCTCTATGACCTTCTCCTACCCTTCTTTCACTTGCCTTTTTTTTTCTTCTTTTCTTCAAGGCAGGTTACAGAAACTCAAATTCCTCTTTCCCAAGGCAAGTCACAGAAACTAAAAATATACTCTAATCTTCCCATACCTTTCAGATGTATCTGGCAATATTCTCTGACCTACCTTGTCTGCTAGTAGATCATAAGCCCTGCGTTTTAGAAGAGGTTCTGACTTGTATCTGAGAAGAAGGAATGCTGCACAGAGATGCCAAGAATAATCTGTACAGGCAAACCTCCAGTATCTCCTCATTCAGTCTGTTAACATTGATTATACTCCTTTTGTAAAATCACATTTCTAAACTTTGGGCCATGCTTTAATCATACCTGTGCAATAAAATCTGCATAAAAACCAAGATCAGAGAGCAGATTGCCTCTACATAGCTAAATATATGGGGAGTCCCAGAGGATGGTGTCCCAGAGAGGACGCAGGAGCTACACTTCCCACAGCCTTGCCCTATGCATCTCTTCGTCATATGTCTCACTATCCTTTATAATAAAACCATGAATGTGTTTCATGAGTTCTGTAGATGCTTAGCAAATTACTCAAACCCAAGGAGAAGACTGTGAGAACTCAGATAGTTAGCAGGTTGGTCCAAAGCACAGGTAAAAAACAACCTGAAGTAGGGGTAGGGGGCAGATTGGGGGACTGAGCCCTCGACCTGTGGTATCTGATACTGTCTCCAGATAGTGTCCAAGTTCAATTGTCCACTGCTGAATTAATTGCTTGCCTGGTGTGTGTGTGTGTGTGTGTGTGTGTGATGGGGGGAACCCCCATACATCTGGTATCAGATGTCATTGTATTTAGAGACTATGGGAAGAGACACTGAGTTTGAGGGTTTTTTTCATTACATCCTCAGACTATCAGCAGAATGATTCTTCTAAAAGGCAAATTTAATTAAGATATAATCACCTTCTGAACACCTATGAGTAGATTTCAGTCATCTAGTATGGACTTGGCATAGTATACAAGAGCCTTTCTGATTTAACCTGCCTTCCTCTCCAACTTCCTCTCTTGCTGCTTCCTCAACTGTGGAACTTGGTCCCCTATGGATCGAACTATGGTAAGTGCTAGACCTCAGGTGACCCTAGATAAGCGATTTCCTCATTTTCTCATAATAGAATGCCCCCCCAAAAAAAACCCTTTTATGGACAACTTCAATGGGATGCAGCTGAAATTTTTTAACATCTACTTATAATATATAATATATTTATTTAGTTAACTACGGTTTACATTAAAGTTACACAAAAATATTAATTTGGTAACATTGATTCTTTTTTATGTGAAGGATTAAGCCCAGGGACTTCCCACGCTAAGCACATTCTCTACCACTGAGCCACACCCTCGGCCTCCAGTTCCTAAATATTGATTATTCCTGTCTCTCAGATTTCACGGAATAATTTTATTCCAACTCTTCATTGGCAGTTCTGATAACAGTATCTGTCTTCATCATCATGAGAGCCACTTTTTGAATCCTGGGATACAGCTTTTCAGAACGTATCATTTTCACAGCTTTCTTCAGTGTTTGTAATGTAGAACTTTTGAAACTGTTCATGATGCAGTCACAGGCAAGGAGTAATACTAAGAGCCTCTTCTTAAGTCAGAAAGCTGTTTGCTGTGTGTCTCCCTGCTTCACTGCTTGCAGTGAACTTGAGGGCAGAAGGCATTTTTCCCAGAGTCCTCAGTACCTATGACTATATCTAGTACCTAACTGTATTCCTTAAAACCTGCCATGGGGTGCTAAGAGTGAAGCAACTTTCAGGGTCACAGGGCTTATGATTAAAAAGTATAAGTATAGACCAGAACTGTCCGCATAAACGGTCACTGTATGCTCATCCTACAACAAAGTGACAAGTGAAGGCACCCTAAGATTTCTAGTCCCCAAGAATACATTTTGATCAATATTTTGCTTTTCATGGGTCTAACTTCTGTCCTGTTTATCTCTTCTTCCTCAATTCTCTTCCATTCCTTTTTCCTTCTCTGCTCAGCAAAAATGTACAAACCTAGCATGGTAGATGCCTATAATCCCAGCACTCTGGGAGGCAGAAGCAGGAGGATCACATGTTTAAACCCAGGGTGGGCTCAAACCGAGCAACTTAGCCAAAGCCTATCTCAAAATAAAATACAATTTTGAGAAAGGGCTGGGAATGTAGTTCAGTGTGAAGGCCCTGGGTTCAATGCTCAACACCACAAACAAATGAACAAACAAGCAAACAGACTGTACGAAGTTGCTAAACCACAATTAAACCACAACCCTACAATTGTCATGCTGCACTCCTCAGGTAATTCAAGGATGAGAAAAATGAAGGAATCCCAGTTCGGAGAAAGTACACAGCATGTGGCAAAGTGTCTTAACTATAGCTGTTACGAAGGATTAAAAACTCCAGATGTTTTTTATTTCTCCTTCAAAAGAGTCCTAGTGACTCAGAGCAAATGTTCAATAAAGAAAAAAAAACAACCTCTTAGATTGATCCAGACGTTTCTACTTAGGCTTCACTCTGAAACCCATATCCCCTCTAAGGCACATTTAAGACATGGGGAGAATTACCCTGAATGGAATCACTACATCACGCAGGGAAGAAAAACTTGGTATGTTGGGAAGATGCCGTGAGAGTCCGTGGGAGCTGTGCGTCATGGGGGTTAATGTACGTGCGTTTCCGCACCCAGCACACCTGGAGACTCTAAACATATTTAAGTTCTTTAACCTCAATCATCTTATCTGTAAAATGGGGTCCTATCAGACCTACGTAACAGTCTCATTATGGGGTTTAAATGAGAGCATATTTAGCTGAGATAATATATTTAGCACTGTGTCAAGCACATCATAAGCACTCAGTGTGAGTTACTGCTTTCTGTGCGCATCGGCAAAAGTTAAAACTGCACCCATTTTGTCTGTGTGAAAACTGTTACGCCAGCTTAATGACAGTGCAGAATTTGAGTTCTTGCTTGGCCTCTGCCTCCAATAGACTGTGGCTCTCAGCAAGTCTGAGCTTCCCAGGCTTTTTAGTCTGAGCCCCAACTGCTCTGGGAATAATTTCCTGTTTCCGTTATCTGTTGCTGTGCCACAGACCACTCTATAACTTCATGGTTGTCTTAGTCACTTTCCCCTTCGCTGAGACATAATCCCAGCACCTGCACCGTAAAGGAGAAGAGGTTTATTTTGGCTCGTGGCTTTCAGATGATTCAGTCCATAGTCAGCTGGCTCCAATGCACGGAGGGCACAGCAAAAGGATCCGGAAGAGGAAAGCTGCCCCTTCTATGGCAGCCAGGAAGCAGAGAGAGAATGGAAGCTCTGGAGAGGGACGGACACCCTTCCAGGCCACACCCCCAGTGACCCACATTTTCCTCCCCGACCCCACCTCCCTACCAGATCCCTTCCTTCAGCTATAGGTTGGTTAGTGGGCTCATCCAGGGATAAGCATAGTGCCCCGAGATCCAATCACCTTCCAAAAGCTCAACCTCTTAATACATGCCTAAACCTTAAAAGTGTTAGATCTAACAGTCTAGGTCTGAACCTAAACAGTGGTTTAAAACAATAGTGACTCATTATTTCTCAGAAGCTTTTCTGCGCTCAACTGGGCAGTTCTGCTCTCAATCATATTGGCTGGACCACCCCTCACCCCATGTGGCTGCTTTTGTCTGGGCGCTCAGCTGGGACTAGAACACGGAAAATGGTGTCACTCACATTTGACAGCTGCGTTTGGTAGCAACAGCTCTCTCTGTGTGAACTCTTGTCCTCCAGAGCTGTTCTTTCCCTATGCAGCCCCTCCAGCCCCTAACCTAGACTTGTTTACATGGCAGCTGGCTCTTCAGAAAACAAAAAGGGAGGCTTCAAAGTTTCTCAAGGCCAGGCCAGATGTCATATGGTATTACTTTCACTGCTGAGTTATTGTCAAGGCAAACGAGAGGCCAACCAAGATTCAAGGAGCTGGAGAAGCCTCACCTCCTTTCAAAGTTCTGTATAAAAGGGCATCAGCAGGATAGGAGGGAGCAGTTGTGAGCAGTTTTCAAAGCACTTGTCACAGTTCATATCTGAACCTAAATCCCTGGGCCAATCCCACTTCTTCTAAATTTGGTTTATGGATTCTTTGTAAGCACCTAGTATGTTCAAGGGCTTGCAACCTTCTCTGTTCTCAGTTTAACCCTAATAGACTTCCTTTTATTTGCCACCCAGGGTCTCCTCAGCCTTCTTCTGATAATCAAATTCCCCAATTTCCCTCCAGATACAGTTGGTCTCAACCCAACTGCCATTCCCCAGTTCTTCCTTACAAACAGAGCCCACATATGTCCATATATTTAGATTTTACTCTCCTTAGCCCTGGGGCATGAACCACCATAAAGCTAAGCCAATCATGAGGTTCCACTTTTGCCAGGAATTGGTTTTGAGGAGCACATGTGACCTGTTGAAGCCAATCAGGCATCAGGAGACAACTAGGAGGGGAGCTTCTTGGACATACTTTCCTTCCTGAAGGAAAGACAGACTTGTAAGAAGAAGGTCACATCCATCTTCCTTGTTGAGTGGAAGAAGCCGTGAAGCCGTCATGTGATCATAGCAGGTAGAGTAAATCTACAGGATCACAGAGGAGCACCCAGACCATGGATATCCTTCAGCTTCACATTCATCCAGTCCAGAACTATCTGTCTTGGGCTTCTTGTTGTGGGAGACAGTACATCTCTGTAAATAAGCAAATCTGTTACCTGCAGTCAAAGGCATCTCTACCCTTCTTCTCTGAATCTCTGTATCTCTAGAGATGCTGACCCAGCCCCGACATTAGGAAGAACCACATAATCCAGCACTGAGCAGTTCCACACTTGGATTCACCTGACTTCAGTGGTTGCTTCACAGATGGCTCAGGGACTCTGGCACAGCAAATGGGAGACAATATGATTTTCCTTGGGACTTCTGAGAAAGGTTTTCTTTTATTGTTGTTGTCATCTGTTATGCCTAAAAGCTAAAAGTAAAAGGACATAGCCACTAGAACTACTCTGGTTGTTTTACTACCATCTTGCTGACTTTTCAGAGTTAACTCTGATGAAGATAGGCAGGCCCAAGAGAAAAAATAAAGAACGCTAATTCTTCTCTGTGTGTGTGTGTGTGTGTGTGGTTTTTTTGTTTTGTTTTGTTTTGTTTTGTTTTTGGTACCAGGGATCAAGTGTCCTTGCTCTTGCAAGGCAGGTGGCAGAACCACTGAGCCAAATCCCCAGCCCCTAAGAACACTAATTCTTGATAAGCTCACTAGAGCCATGAATCCAGTCAATTCTGAGGGTCTAGTCCTACATTTTTCAGTTTACTTAGCCCACGCTTTTTTTTTGAATAAGCTGTCCCAATGGGAC